TGAAAAACAACACAGTTTAAAGAAAAATTTAGTACCTTGTAGGATCATTTCTTGCATGGTTTTCTGTCATGGTACCACCTCAAAGCTAACAATGTTTTTCTAATTCAGTATATATATATTACTTGACAAATAAGTTATGCACTGAAATAGAATTGTCCAGTTATTACAAAACTCATCATACAGATATGTCTCAGATAGGTATGTTAATTACCAATGCAGTCCAATTGTTTTCCAGGTAAAACCACTACTCCAGTTTCCTATATAATAGCTGGCAGAGACTCACTATATTCAGCATTTTCAGTACACCAGTAATTTGGAGGTCTTTAAATGCCAGACAACTGTACAATGCAGTCAAAGACATTCACTCAACTGCCTTTCTGTGAGATGTGTATAAAGATACTTGAGAAAGACAGCATCACTGGACTGGAGGAAGGCAGTTGACTGTTTCATCAAACTGCCTGCCATCCAAGTTGTTCTGATGTGGCTGAGACATTGGGAAAAACAAAAATATAAGAGGGCATGCATACAAGGCAGACAAGTTTTAGATACTCCAGACAAATCACCAAGAGTATTGTCCAATTATTGGACAAGTAGAAACAGCTGCAAAAGCATCATGTATGATGACTGCTATACATCCTGAATTAGAAAAACATTGTTAGCTTTGAGGTGGTACCATGACAGAAAACCATGCAAGAAATGATCCTACAAGGTACTAAATTTTTCTTTAAACTGTGTTGTTTTTCAGATATTTGTCCTTTTGTTTTGATATTATAATAACTTATTGCCATCAATAAAAGAACCCCAGCAACATTTAGATTACATTTAAATATATTTTGCGTTATTGATTATTTATATATCTATAAACCAACTGAGTTGAAATTAATGATTCAGAATAATGTTATTAATATTGGTAATATCACATCTATTAACAATTACAAAATTTAAACTCAATTTTTATTCGCTAGTTTAAAAATGGCCAGGGAAAAAATTACCAGTAGGTTTGTATGAATGTACAGTATTACAATTTAAAAATTTTAATACACCCAAAAAAAAGTATAGTTCTGAATAGGGTTTCTCATTTTCTGGTCTTTTGCTTGTCCCGGGATTCCAGGATAAAAGTTAACTGTTTCCCAGGATCCTGGGAAATCCCAGGATAGAATTATTTATCAGATATACAAAATATCTTGAAATCAAATGATATAATTATTTTTCGTTTTTTAAAGTAATTTAATATGTTCAGCAACCTCCAAAACCATATTAATAATGCTGTGTAAGATATATATTAAAAATTACCTTTGAATTATGTAGAAATTTTCACAAATAGAAAAAATTTATTAAAGTTTGTTGGAAACTGCATATAACAACAACAAAAATTCTTTGAATTGAGTTAAAAATTAAAAATTGAACTTAGATCAAACTTCTAACTTAACCTTTCAACAGTGGACTAGTCGGGTATGGTTCTACCCCTAATAGTGGAGAATAAACGTGGAAAATTTTTAAAGTATTTTTCCACGCTTTTTTTCATTACTGTTTCGAAAAAAGATTTTGTAAACAGTTACGACTAGTAAAGAAAAGTCTCTTTATTCTTACATAATTCATTTTTTATGTAAAATTGTTTTTGCAGTAGTTTTAAGCTAGTTTTTGGTGATATCCCCAAAAGTATTTGATGACTATAGTTGTCCCTCACCACTGCTACACCCTTGCACAGTGTATAATCACCCTTGACAACTATAGTCATCGCTCACTGCCAAGTAGTTAAAAGGTAACTTTCATTTTTTAAATAAAACATTATAAAAATGTACAATAATAATTTGTATTAAGATTTTAAAAAGCAAAGATGGTCAATATGCCAATCACTCAAATTGATTCTTATTTTAGTAAAGAAAAGTCCTGCTATTGAGAATGCCCTTTCTGATTCAATTGACATGAGTGGAATCGTCTTTAATGCATTTAAGAGAAGACAAATGTAATGTCTTTTTTCACCCATAGCCTGAAAGATTTTTAGTTCATTTTCGAGATTGTAGTACTTCTTTTGCCATCTAGTATTCTTGATTTGTCTACCTCAGCTGCTGTAATAGAAACATCAAGCTTATAGCTCAATAATTCAGCAGTTCATTTGTCTTTAATAATCAGGTTTATGAAGAAAAACTTCATACTTGCATACTTCATACTCATTTGTATCCTTGCTCAATTTGCACAAACTGGCGTTATGCAGTTATTGAGGCTACTGGGCATGGTTAAAAATTAAGACAGCAAAGCACAATTATTCCAGATATTACAGGTTCTGACAAGTAAAAAATTTTCAGTCTTGCCACAAATAAGCCACATATTGATTATTGACCATTTGTAACATGCCATAACGAGAAAAAAATTTAAAAAACTAATAAGTAGGTTTAAAATTAATAAATACAAATGTATTCTGACTATTTATGAGTTAATTATACTTCCTATTTGCAAAATTTCCTCAACCTTAACACAAAATAAGAAAAAAAAAAATTTTTAAGAAATTTGTGGGATTTCCCGGGATAAGAAGAATTTCCCAGGATATTTCCCTGGGTTAAAAAACAACTGGGATCTAGTTTGAGAAAACCTAGTTCTGAATTAGATAACAACTGATAACATATCTACAGAAAATTGTGATTATGATCTTCATTCATTCTTTTTCTGTTCATTCCAAATTGTCATAATAAGATTTACATAAATTCTATAAAAGAACTATAACAGTCAACACTGCCACTATAAACAGTAACTTATTCTGAATCCTTCAGTACCCTGAACTAGCCTACTTGTTAAACTTATAGTCCAAAATAAAAATTCAGCAATTTGCTTGTTTCTACATATAATATTTTTATAAAATTTAAAAATCTTTGGATAACAAAATCATACTTATTTAATGTTAGACTTTTGAAATATAAATAATGAATATAAAATAATAAAAAAATGCAAAAATAGAAATTTATTATCATCATTATTATTTGTATTGGAGATATTATTAAATAGACCCTAATATTATTTTAAACTGAAATTATAGTATTGTTAAAATATTTATTTAGAGAATTATTAAACAATACATGTACAAAATAATCATCTCTGCCAGAATATGGCATCATGACATACAGATGTTTGACTATTAAAAAATAAGATGTATTTTTTATACTTGTTATAAACAAACACATTTTATATGTTTTTATATGTATAAAAAGAAAAACATATTCAAAAAATTTTCACCTTAAAATTTTGATAATTTAGAATACCAAACAGTCAAACAACTTATCTTCAGTAAGAGACAAATATTCCATATTCATAGACTTATTTTCTATATTAATAAAATTATTATTATATATAATAAAACAATGATAAGATATTCTAGTTTGGAATTGCTAAATTTAATAATTTCAAAGAGTAAAAAGAATGTAAATTATTTTTCCATTAAAAAATACATCACAGATATTTACTGTCACATAAAATTTTATGAAACATTAAAAGTGGCTCTCTCATATTATATAGCCTATCTCAATATTCTACAAATAAATAGAAATCTGTTCAGGATCCTAATAGTATCATATCTGATTGATTCATTAATCCTTACTATACACTTACAACAACTTATTTTTTAAAAATAACAGATTACCTCTCAAGTAAAGATCATCTTAAACAAAAAATAGGAGAGAGAGAGACCACTTAACTATATGTAACTGTTCCTAATTGGTATGCTTTTAATTAAATAGCATATTTATCAATAATTAATAATTACTTCAATATTAAAATAAATTGAGACATATTTTACTAAGTAGATAAGATACTAACAGATTACAAAAAAACTTTTTCACTAATGAAAATGGTAAAAACAATTACAATGATAATGAAATTACAAATAAAATAAATTCATAGTGTAAATAATCCAACAGAAACATTTACACTTTATATTTGTTTATTTCTCTTCAAATTTAATTAGATCAGACATTTGTATAAATTAGTAGAAATTAAAGACAATATTTATTTTGAATAAATATCAATCAATTTGAATAACACAAGCAAAACAAATAAATTCCTGTCTGAATTTTTTAACATTTACACTTTTTTAATTAATGAAAACTTCTAAATTAAGCTCACTTATTCAGGCAACACGAAATTATCGGTGGCATGTCACAGCTTTACTGGTACCCAGCAAATTCAAATCAGGAAGCCTGGCATACAGTATTGACTTCAGACAATAACTGCGTTCAGCAGACTCAACAGTTCTGGAGCCGTTGAGTATTTTTCTGCCGAACGCCTCAACAGTAGTGCTCTTTCTGAACACGTTTGGTGTTTTGACATCACGTTTAGTAGCATCTCTCATTTACGCTACCTATCACTACCCGAAACTGATCAAGAAAGCTTTTTGTTCCAATGCAAGGTCACTCATCATTCAGCAGATCCAGGTTGCTATGTAGCAGCTACCAATTTGCTCAGTAACAACTGTTGAGTATGCTGAACACAGCAATTTTCTTCAGGAAAATTTTTTGGGAAAAATATTTTCTTATAGAAAATTGGTTTGGGGCCCATATTAGTGGAGGCCCCAGGCAATTACCCTTTTAGCCCATAGGATAACCCACCAGAGAATTATGTTTTTCTTTTTTTTAACTTCCCACACACGTGAAGAATATATAATATACCGATAAACAAAAGTTACATCAGGCCGTAATTATTAAATTAGCCTTAAAAAACAAAAACTAAAATAAAATTCTCCCCTCATATATAATAAAGCAATTACCAAAATATTTTAATAATAGTAATAATAAAAGATGTTTTTTTCCTGAAGATTTTTTCCTAAACATTTTTCCATTGTCTCATAATTATCTTCATCAAAAACGATTAAAGAGAAGAAAATATAGAAGAAAAAAAAATATACAAAATACATTCAAACGAATGCATTAAAAGAGACGACGACGGATAATTTTTTTTGAATAAACTGTCCACCTACTCTACGAGTGTCAGCTGATAATATCCCGGAAACTTACCACACCTGCAGTTAACAGCATCTTCGATTCGGTTGTAATACGTGTAACATGTACCGCAACAGAAGCTTTCGTTCCTCGTCTCCCCAGACGTCGCCATGTTGGTTCGACTTGGTACAGAAACCGTGGTAACAACCGCTTTTCTGGTAAGATATTTCGAAGACTACTTACTAGCTGTCGTATACATAACAGTCTCAGCGGATGTTCTCACGAATCTCGTATCAACTTCCGATAATATCTTCTGGTTTTTTACAATTAATGTTAAAGTTAGAGAATATAGAAATGGCCGACTTATTCCACCAAGTTTATAATTCACCGATGTTACGTCGCCAATGGGAAGATGGTATGGCGGTCACGTGACGCGACCGACGTCATAAGGCAGGAGTGGCTGTTTGAGAAAAGTAAAGCGAAATAGTTGAACAAATCGATCAATTTTACCATTTATTATTAAGCCGTAATAAATCTGATAGACGATACATTCGATAAATAGATTTTAAAACGGATTAAATCTACGTTAAACGTTTACAGAAAATGTATTGAGAAAATGGTCATCACCAGTTTGCTGATTGGTAACTGTTCAAAAAATCCGGATCTTTAACTGCTTATTCCTTTACTCTATTTTTTTCCCTTTTTTTTTAGGATATAGTTTTTCGGCTTTTTTTTAAATATCTATCGACGATTTAAATTCGTCCTTACGATTTATTTCGTCGTGAATTTTCTTCTCTTTTATATCTTCGAAATGTTTCGGGTTAAAGACGGCGCTTGATTAATTTTTAAAATAATTCCCGACTTATTGGTGAAGTATCTGAGCGACTTCGTTCAGATATAGAGCATTATAGAAACGGTGAAGCGAAACTGAAACCAACAGGTGGTTAATACTGGATAATATATATTTATATATACATATACATATAAACACTCCTCTTTTGTAAACATTAAACGTCTGCCTTTTTTTAAATATAATTATACTAATGAATACAAAATTATCTAATTGTAAAAATTTTCTCTAAACTTAAACAATTTGTATGCTTGTGTTTTTAACACATCTCTGTAATTGGTGATATATAAGAAGAACTACTAACTTGCAAAAAGTATAACATAAAATTTACAATTAATTAAAATTTTGATCTATTCATTTAAATTTTAAGTATACTTTTTTTTTATTTTGTTCATTCTATGCAACTATAAAGAATCAAGGTAAAATTGAATAATAGATTGTCAAGTAAATACTCTTGTTAGTGGTCAATTAATTATGTCTGGGTATATATACACTGTATATACACACATATATAATATCAAAATATTCTAAAAATCTTTATTGATTTAGGATTAATGTAATATAAGCTTGAAGTTTCACTAGATAGCTTATATTATTTAGAGATCATATAGCCAAGGATGCCCAAATGGGATCAAAAAGAGCAAATTACGAGCAAGTAAACTCAACTATACATTATTTTTTGGTTTACTTCCTTTGCTTTAATATAAATAATATAATTTGCCTTATGCCGTCCAATGTGTATTTTTCTCCAGGAGGTGGTCCTGCACACAGCAATATTAATACTGTATGTGCGATTAAAATGATGAATATTTTAACTGTAGTAAACCTGTGAAGACGATACCGAATATTTTTCTACCGTTTAGGTAGGTTTCCGTTTTATTCAGGTTCTGTTTGGATAGATTTTAGTACACTGCTGGCCATTAGAATTGCTACACCATGAAGGCAACACGCAACAAACGCGAAATTTGCATGAAAAGTACCCGTACAACATGCTGGGATATGCAAATGACTAGCATTTCAAAGTATGCTTGCAAAGCAGGTAGGAGTAAGACTAACTACGATCCATATAGAAGGGAAGATCGTAAAGTTGGTTTCTCATACGGAAATTGCATTCGCACATTGGTTGCTTATGTATAAAGGTTTTGTTATGCCTCGTGTAAGAAGGAATGTCTACCAGTATGTGTCAGAGTTTGATCGTTGTATAAGCGTGGCCTATGGTGACTAAGGTTTATCGTTCCACGCTATTGCTGCTCGCATTGATCGTTATCCCATGACTTTCACGAGAATATGGAATCGATGGATCTAGGAAGGCCGTACGGAACGCCGTGCGGGATCTCGGCAGTTCCTGGTCAGTAACGCCCGAGAGGACAGACATTTTTTTTACATGACCTTGCGGGATCGTACAGCACTACTGTACAATCCCGCAAGGTCATGTAAAAAAGATACTGCTATAACAGCAGCCAGGTCACATACCCTGAGTCAGGACCTTGGGTCGTTTTCAGAACAAGTGTCTGCACGCTGCAGCAGAGACAGGTGCGCGTACAAAGGTGCGTTCGACGATGAAAATGGACGCAGGAGTGGCGGCATGTCGTCTTTTCAGACGAAGCCTTGTTCTGCGTACCAGCATCATGATGGCGAGGTGAACGAGCATTGCCAGTTTGCATTCATCATCGTCTTGCAGGCCAAGCACCTGGAGTTATGGTATGGGGGTGCCATTGGGTAAAATCTCGGTCATCTCTTGTTCGCATAGCCGGTAATTTGGACAGCCGCCGTTACATTTCTGATGTGTTAAGGCCCATCGCTGTGCCCTATCTTTGAGATCTCCATTACGCTACCTCTCAACAGGACAATGCATGACCGTATGTTGTCATTTGTCTTCGCCCTACGCGGCGTCAGAGAATGAGGAAATGAGTCCCGTTCATCTCATTTGTCTGAGCGCACAACAAATCGCGTTTACACTTTTAGCGCATTTTTTCATTGGCACGCAGTTCGCACATCGAATCATCCGTTCGAACTCCGAGACGAAATTTTGTCGAAATTTGTGTTCGATCTCTGAAGGGTTCTAAGTGAAAACAGAAAGTTGAAAATTTGAAGACATGCTTAATCCCCTTGAAAATGTATTTTAATGAAGTTTTATGGAGTAGTTCCACCCTTACCATCCTTCGTATTCCGAAACCCTTTAATATAAACATAAGCAAATGTTGAATCTGATTATGACGTAGGCTGTGTGTAAATGGATTGTAATGATGCATATGGTGGGGAATGGTGAGAATTTCTGCCACCTTCACCATCCCCATTCCCAATCTCAAAAATAAGATCAATAACAGCATTTGTTTTAAGTTTTTTTAAATATATTAAAACTATTTAAAACTCTTTTTAGCCCCGCGAGTACCAAGAAAACCTTATTTTCCAGGCCCATTATGAGTTCGACTAGGCTTAGCTGGCTGGTAAAGGATAGGGCCTGATATATTCTGGGCAGACCGCATTAGTGTTCGCCACTCAAATTCGATTTCGTTGCCCCAAAGTGGAAGGTTAATACCTTTACGATCTCGGCAACCCAGCCGTTTTCAGGAGGCATTGTGATTGCCTACTATTATAGAGATAACATTCTCGACTTTTATGCAATGCTTTTTGGATGTTGTTGAACCTTAATTTCTTTACATGGACAATAATCTCGTCCTCTTAAGTTCAATTTGTCACTGATTTTCTTGATAATAGGGAAGTTAGAAAATGAATATACCGTAGTCAATAACATATCTAGAATGGAATCCGATAGAGCATGACTGAGATGCTTTATGAAATGAATTTACAAGTCATTAGTCCCTTTCTTCTTTCAATAATGTGGCGAACCATATCATTTAGAATACAACCGAGGGCGCATTTTAGAATTAGTGAAAATGTGGTCTAGAACTTCTGTTATTTTTACTTTCTCGGCTCTGTTATATATAATACAGGGAAAGTATGGCCATCGATCAAAACAACGACCCCCCAAGATTTTTACTCAGAAAAATTGGGGGTTTCTTCTGTACTGTATGTATGGATTTTAGTGTGGGGGTCACGATTTTATTCACCCTCTTTGAAGTTTCAGAAATTGATGTTATCAAAATTGACAGTTTAACATCAGTGCTTGATTGTTTGTTTAGTTACGATAACGCAACACTTAGGCGATCTGCCTAGGTTGTTTTCCGGAAAGTTTTTTTATGGGAAACTGATCCCTATTTAGGCGTTACAGACGTGAAGAAAACTCGGAAAACTCCTCGTGGCCAGCCTGTCCGAGCGCGAACCCATGACCGAACTCCCAGTGGTATTCAATACGAAGACCGCTTGGCCACTGGTGGGCTTGGTGGTTGAAGGTCGAGTGGATGGGGAGCTAGAGCGAGTAGGGTCGGACTTAATAAAGATTTTACTCGTTATTAGCATTTACAATTTTTTTTAAATATAAAACTCATCCCTTCTCTCAAGAATAAGCTTTTTGCCATTTTATAATAATTAAAAATATATAAAGTTTTTAAAAATAAAATATCATAACAGAAGGCGCCACGCGCAGTTTTAAATGTTGCCGGAAAAGTTAAGCAACTCGTTGCTGGCCTTTTTAAAATTTATTTATTTATCAATTTATAAATTAATTATGTTATATTAGTCTTAGTCTTAGCTCCTCCTGTGCCTAGTGGCGCGCTGGGCAACCAGTTGTCTCCAGCGAATGGGTCAGCTGCAATAGTTTCAGCATCATCCCATGGAATACTAATCTTTAGATCTTTATACGTATAGCGTCATGTTGTTCGAGGTCTACCTTGTTTTCTTTTTCCATCGTGTGGTTTCCATTGCAAGGCTACTTTTGGTAAGCGTTCCTCCGGTAGACGAAGATCCTAAAATGTTGGTAGAAATTAACAGAGGTATAGTTGTGCTAACAGATACAGTTCGGATGAATATAAGGAATAAATACATTAATAAAAAGTACTATACATGTCCGGCAAAACGTATTATATGTTCTGTAACAATGTCCTGCAGTTCGTGTAGGTCACTTCTGAGGTCTTCCTGATTTGTGATAGTCAAGATATGTAATTCTAAGTATCATTCGAAGATAGCATTGATGGAATACAGTGAATTTCAGAGTAATCTTCCGTGTCTTTCCTTGTTTCACAGGCGTAGATTGCAGTTGGAATAACAATGGTGTTGTAGAGGCGTATCATAGTCGCTATACTGATTGCTCGTGTGGACATAGTCTGTGAAAGACACCTAACGCTTTACCAAGTCACCGTTTTATATCAGCTTCAACGCCTTCATCTGGTGATAACCTGCTACCAATCTGGCAAAACTCCTCCACTTCATCCATTGTTTGATTACCGACTGTGATTTTTACTTATGTTTGCTTATTTATGTTAATGGACATTATTTTTGTTTTATCACTGCTGATCTGCAATCCTACCCTTCCAGCTTCATACTTATGGCCATACTTTGGGCTCATTTCTGATATCAATGGATGTTATATTGGCGTGTTAATAAAACGTTTTGTATGACTGTCCATTACGTATTACGTAATGACTGTCCATTACGTAATACGTAATGGACAGTCATATAAAACTGTAATTACGTATACAGTTTAAGGAAAGGAGAAGACAAGAACAACATTGTACACGATAGGGAAGAGTATCAAGGTATTGTCTGCTTAAAGTTTTTGTAGTGTTATTAGTGGCATAATTAATAGTCATGTGAATCGTTCTGAAATATTTTTTAAAGTCATTTCTTCAATATCAGGGGAGTTCATGAAATTTTGTACACGTTATTAAAGGAGAGGGGTTAACCAACTCTATATCGCTGTACACAACAGGGAAGAAATGAGTAAAAAATGATTCAAAAATTGTAGACATAATTAATGGACGGTCACCATTCAAACATTGATTCTACAATCATATATTAAAAACAGGCAAAATGGGGACAGTCTTCGGAAATCGGTGACATCTAGTCCTTAATAAGGATAGAATTTAGCTTATACGATGCTATATAAGCTAAAATAAATCCTCACAAGGAATAAAATGTTTTATAAAAATTGATCGAAAATCTGTAATCAGCTTTACTAGTCTTAACGAGAATTATTTTCAATAAGAGAAAACCATACACTATAAATACCTTTTCGTCGATGATACCTGACATCTCATTTAGATCACAGGACCCACCAGTGGCAAAGCTGTTCTGTTCCCCGAACACTAGGAGTTCGGTCGTGGGTGGCCACGTGGAGTTTTTCGGGTTTTCTTCACGTCTGTGACACTTAAATAGGGGTCAGATTCCCATGGTAAGTAGTCCTGGGAGGCATCTTCATTCTGTCCCACGTGTTGCGTTTCCGTAAACAACTAATCCAATCAAATCCCAATCAGATTAATTTGTATATTTAAGTATAATGTTTGTGAAATTCGAATATGTATATTAGATTTTAATAAATCCTGTAAATGTGTTTTATTTTTTCCAAAAATGGCTTTCGAACTATAATTCTAACATCAATAGCTCATATAAATTATTTTTAAGATTAAATAATTACTCGTTGAAGTCTTTAAAAGGGTTCATAATAATTGAAACCATATTTCAATTAAGAATATTTTATTCGTAATTATTCGAATTTCAAAACTTTAAAAAATATTAATAATTTTGTTATAGCATTTGCGCCTTTTTATAGTATCTTTCTTAAGCGGAAATGACGTCAACTCTATAAATTAAACGACAGGAAATGCAAATTATATAAGTTATGTAACTAAATTTCTCTCACACATTCGATATCGTATCGTCTTTAAATATATTAATTTTATATAAAAGCTAATATTTTCTGTTTCTTGTTTTTGAAGAACTTAACATTCAACATTCATAAGAATTTCGGCAAGTCTTTTACTTTTAAAATTAATTTACCATAATTAAATGAATATATAAATTCCGTTATTAGGATTTTATTCGAGATTGACCTTAGCAAATGCCAGTGGCCGAGTGAATGAAACCACCGAGCGGTTGGTCGTAGGTTTGCACCTGGCTTATGAGCCGGTCACGTGGAGTTTTCCGGGTTTTTTCACGTGACAATTTCCTATTAAAATTCTCCCCCCGTTGGCAGATGGTCCACGTGTCGCGTTGCCGTAACCATATAAATCAATCTTAGCAAACGTCAGGCCCGATTGAGTCCGAGTTGAAATTCAGCCGCCCGACTATATATTTTTTCAGCGACTCGAGATGGCGACCGGTTAAGTTGTCGGCCTACTGTTTGGGGGGATTCGGGATGGAAAAACCCAGGAAATTTTTCGGGGATGTCGGTCCACGTCCCTTGCCGTGCGACCGTACCATTATGGGCCAGTCGAACCCATAATAGGAATTAGCTAGGTAAAAAAGGCTGTCTTAGTGCCCACTGGGTTAGGAGAACAGTGGAAATATTCGAACAAATATTGCTTTTATTTTTATTACTTTCATTTTATATTCCAAAATATTTTATTTGCTTAACTTTAAATTAATTAATTAATTAAAATTTTCAATTTTTATACAGTTATATTAATTCCGTATTTTCGAATTAATGTTAAGAATTATTTTTTGATTATTTCATTCATTTAATTATTTTTCATAGTAAAATTTTATTAGTTTAAAAATGATAAATAGTATTTTAAAAAAATAAAATTTTATTCGACATTTTATTTTAAATAAAAGAAGCGACGGAATGCGATGACAAAAAGAATTTTTGGCGCGACGTTCGTAATGTAAGGACCAATAGTATTGGACAACGTCGAGGAGAGTAACAGCTCATTGGTCCGTACGAGAAGTCGATTACGTGCTGCGATACGAGTATAAAAGGAAGACGAACGCTTGCGCCATTTTCGAATTTGTTGCTGGAGTGTGTTAGCGTGTTCTGTTTTAAAAGAGAAGACAATGTCAGGTAGAGGAAAAGGAGGTAAAGTGAAAGGAAAGAGCAAGACACGATCCAGTCGCGCTGGATTGCAGTTTCCTGTGGGACGTATCCATCGTCTTCTGAGAAAAGGTAATTACGCCGAACGAGTCGGTGCCGGTGCTCCCGTCTACTTGGCTGCTGTTTTAGAATATTTGGCAGCCGAAGTTTTGGAATTGGCCGGAAATGCCGCGAGAGACAACAAAAAGACCAGAATCATTCCTCGACATTTGCAATTGGCCGTTCGAAACGACGAAGAATTGAATAAACTTTTGTCCGGAGTGACCATCGCCCAAGGTGGTGTCCTGCCTAATATTCAGGCTGTTCTTCTTCCCAAGAAAACTGGAACCACACCGACTGGTGGAAAAGGTTTAAAATTAGCCAGCCAAGAATTTTAAAAACTGATAAAATATGTAACGTACATTATGTGTGTTAGATGTAAACTCTTATTTTGATTTGATGCCAGTACAAATCTTCAATGTTCTTTTATGGATTTTATGTAAATTTCCACTTTCGGAATAAAAAATTTTTGGTTTAGTCTGTTCACCCTGTATGAAATGTGTGAGAGTTTGTTTTTGCCGGATGAGATATACGGTCATTTGTACAGTGTGTGTAGACTAGATTTTCTCTAATTGATGCTCTGTGGGTCTGTTTGGAAATGATATTTGGTTTGTCGTGTGCCCGTTCTTGAAAAATTGGGGGAGATTTATACAGAATAGTAGGTAACTGAAGATTTGTAGGTAATGTTTTCGAATGATATCTGGTCTCTTGTTGGACAAGTAAACTTTCTGAACAGATCCTACATAGTATAAAATGTTACCGATCCGGTGAGCTTTCTCAGCTCCTTTGGGTACTATTGGTATGGATATGGAGGAATAACATAAGAGCTTGTCTAGATCTGTTAATACTTTAAAGCTGTATGAAGAATCTTCTAGTTAAGAAATTGCAAGCAAAAATAGTTAAATGAATAAAGGAAACATTTTTACTGTAAATTCTGAAAACATTTCATGTAAGTTTTGATGTCTTTATAGTCAAAGCTTTAAAACAAGAACTGGAAAAAGAGACAGTGTCAAATGAATGCTGAACTGCAAAAGTTGAAGTGGCCTGTTATTTTAATTGCATTAACTCTATCTTTTTCCTAACCTTTTTCTGTATTCACTAATACTGTAATATGCAGCAACTAGGTATCTTGACACTCTAGAGATCCTGGTGGTTGATATAGCCTCTCTGGTGAGACCTTTTAAGATTGGTAAGAATTTCCCTGCCAATACCAATATAAGGTTGGTCTTGCCAGGAAAAAAAGTAGAATTTTTTCTGGTATATTCTTATCTATAGAAGTGTTTCAGATCCTTGTATTAGTGGGAAGAGTAATAAATGTAAAAAGTTTTACGATGTCACATATTGAAATAATTCATTTTATGAAATGCTTAAATTACAGCCACTAAAGTTGTTTGTTTCTATGGATTTGTGATGGGATAGATCTATCTAATTGACAGAATTTTCAGAGAAATGTAAATCTTAAAGGAGACTTCAGTTATCTTTGGAATGTAATGAAAGCAAACAAAATAAATTAATAGTACTAATTTGCTAGGAAGCAAGCTTTAATGCCCACTGGCATTTTGTTTTTTTAATCTAAAAAACTCAACTAAGACTGATTAGAAAAATTCTATGTAAGGGATTTCAAAAACTTACCTTTGAAAATGAATTGTCCTAAATTTCTTTGAAAGTTACTCTCATTTTTACTTTCCTAGCTGTTAAAGAATATAACATGGGGAAAATATCACCATGATTTTTTATACCAGTATTGCTGCCAACAGAATACTAATTAGCTTCGGAAGAGTTTATATATATTTATATATATATGCAAAGATGGATGAGCTTATCAAATAATTTTTTTCCACCACACAACAGCATATCTTAAAAATTCCAGTAGGTTAAGTGAATTAGGATAAAAAATATATAACTTGAGTATTTGCTTTATTCACATCAAAAAATAGTAGTAGTACAATCCATAAAGCAAAAAATAAATGGAAAATTTGTTTGAACATTTCCAGATAAAAATACCTAGGATGTGGTTGAATGTTTCTGTAAAATGCCCAAATTTATGCAAAATATGCAGGCTACATAAATACAGCATGGCATTGTTTCCTGTTATGGTTTAACAATTGAAGACCACCATAAAATGTGCTATTGTTTTAATGTATGGCACTGACCGTGATAATGTCACAATAATATTTTATGAAAGGAGGAATTATTTGAAAAGCTAGAAACAAACTAGTGGACAGATGAGTCCAAGAATCTGAATGTGCTACAATGCCACATCCAGGCTTTAGGCCAGATTTTCAAAGAAAGATGATGTCAAACAGGAAGTGGCTGTCCAAGAGTTATCCCTCAAGAGGGCTGCTATTTAACATTAACAGTACATTGCAACAAAAGAATGTTTCATCACAGAGATTGTCATGAAACTAATACTAAAGGCTGTAGACAGCTGTGGCCCGTGGGCCTTGAGTTGGTCACCTCAGACTTACAGTAAGATTGCTGTGCAGTATTGAAAGTGTGGTAGAGGTTACCTGTCAGGAATAGTAATATTTAATGCATGATAGTTCCTAATAAGTCCATACATACTGCAATTGGTCCTTGGTAACAGAGCCGTAACTAGCCATTCCTGTGCCCTGTGCAAGAATTTGCATTTAGGCCCCTTAATTTATTTGGTTTTGGGGAAAATAATAAAACAAATACATTACAATAGATTTTTAATAATATTTTTTTAATTAATTGAATTTTTCTGGCTTTCATTTTAGCAAATTCATTACAGAGCCGTAACTAGGATTTTGGACGCCTATGGCCAAGAATAAAAATGGCGCCTTTTTAATTTTTATTATTAAAAAATAATTTTATTTTTAAAAAAATGCTATTGTAAAAATTTTTCTAGTGACGTTTAAATACTATACAGGGTGTATCAGAACGTTTTAAAAATTTGGGGGATTGTAAAGGATGAAATTTTGAACGTTTTGATACGAGAAACCTATAGCCGGAAAAGTGATAGAACGTTTCTACAGCACTTTGCACGTTCTATGCGGTCGGTATGTTGCACTGGCATTCCCTCGAGCTTCACCAAAACACAAATGCATGTTAGCAAGTTCTCCAAATGTGTAGTTACCCTCCAAGAAGCCAGAACGTATCCACAGTACGTAAAGCACGATAAGCGGACAACTGTACACTGACTCACGTTGACTAGCTGTGTGTTTACAGCACAGCGCCAGTGGATGCAAGGGGTGACCTGAAGAACGGCAGGCACTAAGTACACAACGTCTTGTACACAGGCTCAGTTAGACTACTGTAGTTGTGTGTTTACAGTCTTCCATCAGCAGCAATAACATGACGTCAATGGACGGAAGGGTAGCTACCAAAGTGAAGGGCGGTCAAGCACTTCCTACCGCCGTAGAGACTTTAGTTCAAATTTCCAGCTATAAATTCTGTATATCAAAACGTTCAAAATTTTATCCTCTATAAACCCCGAATTTTTAAAACGTCATTCTGATAAACCCTGTATAAATATAAATATAAAAATGTTTTTGTGTTATTAATTTCGAATGCATATTATTTTGAAACCTTCTCGTTGGCGCCTTTATTAAATCGACGCCTATGGCGGGGCCACATTGGCCATACCCTAGTTACGGCTCTGCACCATCATAATTAATATTTTTAACGATATTGTATTCTACTGAAATAATAGAAATATTGGATAATCGTTCTTGTCCGATAGTTGATCTTAAATAATTTATATTAAGTTTAACTTGCTATAACTTCTCTCGCACGAAGCAATAGAAACGGGAAGAGTTAGAAATATTCGAAGAGCGATATTGATATTTGGGTAAAACTCAATTAAACCAAAATCATGAAGAGCCTGTAGAATATTAAGCGGAGATGCAGTTTCTATATTTTGTATAAGAGTCGTTACTTCAAAATTAAAACTTTCAATTTCACTTGTGAATTCGTACTTTTTTAAATCTTTGCTATATTTAATAACAAGATCTGCAGCTGATTTTTTTTTTTTAAATCAGCAACAATCGTGTATTGTAAAGACGAGCCATAGAGAAAGCAAAAATCGTCACAGATAGTTTTCATGTTTTCATAACGTCTATCTATTTGACACAATAACGTGTCAAGAACATTGTAAATTTGTATTTTAAATAATTTTTTGGGTGTCAAGTTATTTCCTTCATCTGGCGTTTTACCTATTTCCATTATCTTAACTTTTTTTTTTCGTTTATTGAGAAATCCCTTTTCTATACTTTTTGGTTTGTTTTAAGAATATGATCAATAATAGCATCTGTTAATATTGTTGGCCATAAAGCTATATCATTTATTACTTCCATGTATCTATATATATCGAAGTGTTTTTCTGGACTATTTGTATCTTCTGCGTTTTCGCAATCCCTTTTTTCAGTAGCATTTTAAAGACTGCGGGAGCCCCTTCGGGGCCCTACGCGCCCGCATAGTTCGCTTACCGCTTAATCCGCCGTTCAGGTATACACTACATATACGTACCACTATAAAGCAAAAAATGATGTCAGAATTTCTGCACGCCTTTTACAACCTCGAGACTAAGATTTTATTCGGGAGTTATCGTTACGGGATTTAGTAATTTAAAAAAAATCCTCAGGCACATTAATTTTTGTTACAAAATGTTACCTTTACAGATTTCTAGCTTTGCACACTGTAGAAAAATCTAGAAATACAGTTTTGTATATCGTAATAATATTAGTAGTTGCCAGAGAGCTCTACAAGGTAGAGAAAAATCTGTAAATTTGAAAACTATAAACATAAATTTAAATTTCTCAAAAAATAAATTAAAAAATCTCAAAAGTCGCTACTTTTGGCTGATTTGTCTGAGGTCTCCGCTACCTCACTACATCCCTCTAAAAGTTGCCACAGTTGGGAACACTGGTGAGCAGACATCTAGGGTCTAAGTAAGGCGAAATGTAATTGCCAAACCGCGCTGTAGAAAGGTAGAAAAATTTAAATTTAATAATTTCTTGTGAACAGCAGTTTGGGCCCCCCTTCCAAGTGGGCCCTGTGCGAATGCACCTGTTGCACCTGCCTAGTTACGGCTCTGCTTGGTACCAGGTAAAATGGGCTGGTCCATTTGATTTACTTAAGTGGCAGATCCCTTGCTCCATCATGTATTAAAATTCCTGCTTTGTTGTGGCTAATTGTACAGGATGGAATCTTCTAGGTCTTGGAAAAACAGGTTTGTTTTTAATTATGCAGTAATACCATGTTGTGTTGGACCTGGCTCTTGGCTGAATACAGGCACATATCAGGATATTTCTGTAGGAAATATGGTATTTGGATTTCTCCACAATGGGAGTAATATGGTCAGTTGTATCTGTAACCCTACAACTTTTAGATGCTAAAGAAGTGAGTGGGTCTTTGACGCAAATATTCTTCAGATCTACCAGGAATGCATACTGTCTTAAGAAATCTGCTCCAATAATTGGCATGCTAACTAGTCAGGACAAATGGCCTTTGAAAGCAGTGAC